AAATTTAGAAGGTAGGTAGCTCTTGTGCTGGGGAAGAAGTGACGTTAGTTTACTCTGGAACTGCAGGGCTATATGTTTGAAAATATTCAAAAGAGGATAACTCAAGAACCGGTTGATGGATAGTCGTGATTTTTTGTATGTAGGTAGCTTACGTGATGCTTGATATAATTATGTGACAATTATGCAAATATGGATGTAATTTGCATAATTTATGGAGACATTCTATAAATCAGCTGTATTCCATGATAGGACTATTGAAGCTTGTGAAATTGGTACTTGAGAACGAGAGAAACACAGATATTGATTATGTAAATGAAGACCTAACTTGCATAATTAATGGGAAAATTTTATAATTATGTAATGATAAGTGCCTGGAATTTCATACTTGTGGTATTTGAAAGATAAGTGAAGGTGAACATCATTAAACATAATGGATTCAAATTAGGACCTCATTTGCATAATTTATTAGGAAATGCTAGAATGGCATTGTTTGTTAATTAATATAAGACTGTATTTTGGTTGAGAATATGATAAAATGATATAATTCATGAAAATGATATGAGCATCCTATTTGTTAAATCAGGGGGGAATAATCTATAATTTGTCAGTCATAAAGATTAACATCATTTGGCGACGGTATGAGATCGGGGAACTCTAGTTATATTACTAGTATAGTATTAATTTGTAACCCTTTTGATATACCTTGTTTAAAAGGAATTTTTCTTATAACGGATTATTGTTTTAGTACTACTAGTATGTCAAAATATGTGTGCTTTTAACACCGTACTGTATGTAGGAAGTTGTATTGTTTGTTTTTGAGGGTGCTAATATGATGCATGCATCAACGAATGAAGTGTGTACCCTGAGCTGTAACTCACATTCGTATGGATTTATGTTTGATTATTTAGGAAGTACGTGAGTAAGGTATAGTTATTAGGAAAGAATGGTATCTGACGCAAGTATTACCAAATAAGGATGAGCTTTTTAATAGGTATTGCCATATATAATAGACACGCTACGTGTACACCCAGTGGGTTTCCACCAGAAAGCAGACCGGGCGCTCGTCCAAGGTACCCCAGATATCTGGTGTCTCCATATTCCACCTAACATGTCTGACTTTCCTCAGCGCCTCCACAAATTCACGGAGGCGCTGAAGGGACTTGTGCAGAGTTACCCCAAGGTCACAGTATGGGACCACAGACGTCTGTGGAGACGCAACCCAAATTGCAAACTACTTTGCGCCTGACGGCCTACACTTGTCCGATCTGGGAAACATCCAGTATTACAAAAGTATCCGCGGGGCTTTAGACCGCCACACGCTCCTCCACAGCGTCCTATTAAAGAACCCTATTGAATATGCGTGTGTGAGTCTTTTGTGCAATACATTATACTGCCGCATGATGGCTTCTGGCGCCTGGGTTCGTCACACAGACGATCCTGGGAAGAAGATCATGCTGGGCGAGGCAGACTGTCCGGGGAACGAGTTAATTATTCACGAGAATGCCCAAACTCCCTCCGTGGCTAAGTTCCTTTTCGTGACTAACTCCCTTCTGGGCAAATTTACAGAGGTAACGGTACACCATCATAGCGTCACCAAAGAAAGGTACTTTGTATAGGTCCGTTTCAAATAGTGTATTACCACTGTGACAACATCTTATACCCCAAAATAGGAATCTTGCGTCTTGTTTAGACCCACTACGGTAGAAATAACGCAGTGCCAGATCGTCGCCGTGTATATGCGTATTTAAACGTTACGTACTAGCGAGCGCGCACGAAAATGCCACCCGAGTAGAGTAGGTTATCACAACCCTTTAGAAAGACACAAAGAAAACAAAAACGACAGATTTGCATTAAGAAAGGGAATTTATGCCGGACACGAAAGCCGATCCTCGCCCGCTAGGTTTACGTTGACCAGTGAATTCCCCGTTTGTACCACACGGGGTCTCCTTGTTTGTATCGCACGGGCCACGGGCTGTTTCCCTTTTCCTCAAGCAGGACGCTATTAAACTTGTTTTTTGTATAACTTGTATGTCGGTCTAACTTGTTTTTTGGTTGCCCAGTTATTTCCTTGTTTGCCACCATGTCCGAAGAGGGGTGTCCCTCTAACTCTGTAACTCGTCGTATGCTGGTCATCGTGTACCGGGCCTAACCCGTCAGTGATTTATGACCCTGTGACGTAGTGACTTATGACGTAGTGCTTAGTAGCCAGATTTACATACTTAGATCCTTAACTCATTTACATGCTCATTAGATTAGCCAATGACGAGTCAATGACTGGTGAGAGCAGTCATCGTCAGGAATTGCGTTTGGATTCAGTCGACCCCGGGACCTCAGGTTAGTAACACACACTCTGTATTAGCTCTTTGTAGTTCATATCCCTTGTAGGTTCCACTCCTGTAACTTAGATCCGAACCATTGTTACTCGAAGACTAGTCAATTGACTTTGTATACATACAGCAGATCACAATACAGCTACCCGTACAATCGAAATCGACCCGGCTCTGTGTTTTACTTGGTAAACTAGCAAATCAGATAGAAGCGTATAACTTGGCGTAAGTAAAGTTAGACCAAGAACTAAACCGTTACAGAGATCCCCGAAATACTACACTGATTCCTCCTAAATTCTACACTGGTTCCCATACCGGATTGTACGTCAAGTTGTTGTCCTGTGAACGCTGCTGTAATTGCTAGAATTTTCGTTAAAAGTTGCCACACACTTCGTATAGTTCGTAGCTTTGACCATCTGCTAAGCGTCCCCACGTGTTCCGCATTTTCGGCTAACTTTCCTGGCCTGTTTTTCAAACTTTGCTTAGTTTATAGTTCACTTTGTCCGGCTGATTTTGTGGCGCTTTTCCCGTACCCCAACTTTTTCGGATAGAACGTTTTTCTCCGGTTAGAAAAGCCGAATTTCAGTTTCTGAGAATCCTAATCTAAGCGTCACTTCACGGGTGGTGCTTTCTTTGTGTCCCATCTTGCATTCCTGTGCCCTCGAGTGTGCCATCTTGTGCCAGTCACCCCTGTGGTGTAACGGTCGCCCCTCATTAGGCATTTCCTGCCCTTCTGTGGCTGTATTGTTTCTGAAAGCTGGTTTTCCCTTTTTGATGCGCTTTCCCATGCTTTCTTGTGTTTTTATTGCCCCGTCTAGCCCCGTTCTTTTGTGCCCTAGTATTTTTCTCTCCGCTAAATTTGCTCTTTCCTGTTCGGCTATTTTTTTCCTAATCCTCCTGCTTGGACTTTTGTTAGTCTGTCCTTCACTATGGCCCCAAAACTTGACTTTGCCTTTGGAACTTCATATCCCGTCTCGATTCGTTTGTGGATAGTCGAGCCAGCAGAGTTGTTAGCAGACATTTCTGGCTCGATAATACTATAGTCAAGTGGCTGTCACGGCCGGGCGGAAAGGTGTCTAACTTTCGGCCCCTGTCAGATGCTATTCCTTTTGCTGACCTCGTATATCAGTCAATCAATCAATCTTTATTGCGCAACAGTTGCAACAGGTACAATGTATGGCAAGTATAGACAAGAATAACAATACTAAAATCTACTTCTAAATGACTAACTCTAGACGCTACGCTGTAACTGTGTACTATGAGTTATACAATATATATGGGACATGGATACAGTATTAACATCCATTCGAAGTGTCAGAGATGATATGGTTTCTTTTCTGGAGAGCGGAAGATATGAATTGGCCTATATATAAGGATATTGGTTCAGGACATGACATAAGTAAATTAAAAGTATCTGAGCTTGTTCAAGGTAAAGTAATATATCTAGAGCTGGGCCACAACGACCTCTGTGATGCGTACTGGGAGCCAGACCTGGTCGCTATGCGCATTGTGAGTATGGCCAGTTTGATAAGGAATCGGGCTTCTGCCCAACACATTATTCTCGGCGAGCCAGGCTAGCTAGGGTATATAATCCGCCAGGAATTCCCTACAACCGAAGCTTAACCGCGTATTCAGTAGCTCTGAGGACGGAGATTCAAAAAATAGTTTATACCAAACAAACGTCAGATTTTAGTAGCCGAGTCCTAAGGCTCAATGAGAAGCAAAATCTTCAAATAGGAAACGAAGCTACCTTCTTGCCAAAATTGGGAAGCCACTTCTTAACATATTTACAGGTAAAGAAGTAAGGTTATAAGCGTTTGTTTCCTCCTTTTCGGTTCCCGCGATAATGACACGATTCTAATCACCGCTGTTTCCCTACAGTTGCCCAGGCCGGCGGGCGTGGAGATACGTAGCCCCTTTGCCTTCTCCCAACCAGGGATACAGACATAAAAAAGGTGAGTTCATACGTACTTTTATCCATAATTCTACAGGGTGTGGATGTTTGGTAACGTCGGCCAGTTTTGGCTAAGTTAATTTATGAAGCGCGGAAGGACTGCTACTTATGCAGTTCACAGCTGTCATGTCAAGTGTACTTTTGACGCACATTCTATATCAGCCTTGTCTTCAACTGTTTTCTACGTTTCGATGACTTGTTTAGGAAATGTACACCTTGTTTTGAAGACTCATTTCAAACCGCTACCATTTGCTGTGACGTTCGCACCACGATATGTTTTGGCCGAGACCTTTATGAGGCGAGATGTGGGGCATATTACTGTTGACTAACTTGCCGTGGATAGAGGGTAGCCATTTAAACTTGAGTTTTGTCAGGTATCATATACAATAATGGTAGGAGTGTATTTCATGTATAGATACCTTCAATGTGTGAAGTCCTGTCTATTGTTTTGTCCTGACACTAGCAACAAGCCTCACACCT